GCCGACCCATTTATACCGGGCTCGTGTGTGTGTGTGTGTGTGAGCAGGGCCAATTTGCAGGGGTTAGTTGGGGCTTAGTACTTACTTGTTCATGTTTCGATATCGGTCAACGCGGTCAACCCGGTAAGGATTTCGGCCAATAGGAACATGTCATGTCAATAAGGGAGGCAATCACCTGACAATTGCTCGACTTTTTTATTCCTTGAAAATAAAAATCTGCATAGAGGAATCTGTTCCGGTACATATTGACTCGATCTGGCCTTCTTTTGCCCTAGAAACGCCGCCCCCCAAAGCCCCCCTGCTTTTTCCCTCTTTGGGTCTTTGTTTCATGCATTGCATGCCAGGGTGTGAGTGTGACTCGGAGGGATTGATACCTCGTGGTTCATGCAAGATTCAATTCAGCTCAAGATGTAACCCAAAACCTAAATCTTAAACCCAAACCTCTCATTCTCCGACTCACCATCCCCCGAGCCCCCACCCATTCAGTCCCATACCCGGGCAGTGCGCCGTGGTATAGGTAAAACTTATCTGACATGTAGGTATGTCTGGGGTACAAAGAATAATCGTAGTACTGTTGACGCTTCGATCGTACAGGTACTCGCACGCATTCCGGCACGCATTGCGGCTTCTGTACTGGCTGAGTTAGGTACTCTTGCCAATGCGTTTTACCTCCAGAGCACACGCAGCAGCTAGTCTATCAATAAGTGACATAGAATTAAGCTCTGTAAGTTGTGGTAGCTTCTGAAGCTTCTTGTGTTGGCTTGAAGTTGAAGCGCTAAGATCGAAACGAGCACCGGCTTCCAACCTGCAACCTCGAAGATTTTGGCATCTGGGACTTGCTGCCCCGGCTCAGTACTGCCCGCCCACTCAATAAGGACGAAGGACGGCGGAGTCATTCCAGCTAAGTTGACTAGGTGAATGTATTTTGACTATTCTAGCCATCGTGAGCCTGCTTATCGTGGACTCTCGCGATCGTATTGCGAGGCCACTGGTGTCTGCTGCAGATGCTGGCGAAGGAGACCCTACAAACAAAATTGTTATCCAATATTGCTATTGGAGAGCTGATGCGCCACACCCATTGAAAACGCTTGAACTACCAATCGTTGAGAGAGGAGCCCCTGGCTGCAATGTGCTTCGTTTTTGTAGTCTATATGCATACCAGGCTACTTGGCAAAAGTGGAAACGTAGACCGCCTGGGGCCACCTGCTGGGGGCCCGGGCTGTTTCAACCAATCCGTCTTGGTCCAATTCTCCACTCCTCATACTTCCTACGAAACAATAAGTTAATCACATGCCCGCATTCAAGTCTTTGTGATAGTTTCAGCAACCTTAGTGTGCTAGGTCCAAGAACAAGTTGTAAAGATGGCGACCAGTATGCGGAGAGTGTATTCGGGCTGGAGGTGGGGGTTTAGCGATGAGAATAAAGGTGCAGCTCCACCTAAGGGGAACAGATTGCAGAAGAGATACGGGATTCTGGTCCTGCGCCTCTTTATTGTGGTGAGCAGACCGGTGTTGAGACAAGCTGGCTTTCTGTACTTTATACTGGCTCACTAACATTTGCTGATAACAAAAGGTGCTCAGATTCAGCCTTCTGCGAGTTTTCAGACGTGAAGATTACAAGAGCTAAGTTGTATGCAAATGTGCACTTCCAGGGGCTCGATGGACTGTACAGTGCGAACAGACTTTCATTCATCCAGCTCATCTAAGTTGTATTGCAACTTGCAAAGAACGTTCAACTGTGGCATGCACCACCTGGAGACGCTGAAAACATAATGCACAAACTAGGATCTAATATCTTTGGCTCAAGAGTACCATCAAGACCTTTCAAATGGACAGTTTTGAGTTGCTCAGGCTCAGTTCATGTGGATTGCTCACCAGCTCATGAGTTTCGAGCTCAAGGGACATTTGGCAGTCAGGATGATGAAGTGCCAAACATGTAGCTGGCAATCCCCGCCTCTCATAAAGTCACAGTCAATGAGGCCAACATAGTGAAAATCGGACTTTCCCTGTGGAAGACTTGCTTGCTTTGCTTGTGTGCAGGTCATTGTGCGACGTTGTTGTCAGGCACTGGAGCCCTCATCTATGTCATGACAACAAAGACTGCCAAAGCATCCCTGGTCTCACTCACCCATGACTACCAACAAGAGCTTATGGATAGGGCCCTGGACAATGTTGCGGCCAATTTTTCCTCGTCGGCAGCGTGTCTCCAGTCCCTAGCGGCACATCTTGAGACGGTCGCGAGCCTTCCCAACATGACCCAAGAATATCGGGACGAATTGGTATGACTTGCATATTCCAGATGTGCCTATCACTCTCCCTTATGCCTGTACCAAAGTCTGCATCGGATTCGACAATCCCGACAGTCGTTGGTGTGCTGACAGCGTCCCAAGCTTTGCAGTCTGCTTGCTGTGCGCCAACTGTGCCAGGGCTTGAAAGCAGTGCGCTGCAACAGGTTTTGACTCAAAGGAAGCATGCTTCAAGCTGCAACCGCCTCAATTGCAACAATGAAGATTATGTGCTTTATATTCTACTGTCTGAGCAGTGCAATGGCAAGCAGGCCATAGAAGTATCGGAATCAGAAACAGCAATGTCAGCCATTTGCAGCAGGTTCAGCCCTAGAATCATCATTGGTGTATGGGGATTCATCAAGTCATTATCAAATGGAACAAACCCTGTGGAGCTCTGCTACAGGCATTCCAAGCCAGCCGATTCTCGTTCTTGAGCTGCAACTTCAATAAAGCGGGTGTGATATTGGAGAATGGAAAGTAAGTTCCACTGGAAAACATGCGAATCTGACCCTGCTCTGTATAGTGTTTTCTAGAGTACTTGGTTGTCCAATCTGGCCTTGAAATGGCTGTCGTAGATGTGTCTTGGATGACAGCCTGAACATCACCACTGTTCTGCGTTACAAGAGCAGTCATCACCATCTCAGCTTCGTAGGCGTGACGTCAGCTTCTGACATTGCGTGAGTGCTTTGCAGGTTCCTTTTTATGGAATTGATTACTGATGCTACCAAGCCTCTGGTCGAGCCGACCCTTCAGCTTGACTATAACAGGAATACTTACCCGTTAGGCCAAAAGGTGCCTCAGTATCGAGCGGTAAGCTCAACAGACTCGTTAAGCTTCCCTCATTCATTCTTGCAGGCCTTGTCGTTTCAAGAGCCTTCGTCTGCTTTTGTGATCATCTGTTGAGCATTCTGGTATGGATGCTCATTCCTCTGCTCAACTTGAGGTCGCTCAATCAGGCTAGGGTTCCATTCGGGACAGAGAAGGCCGTCAGATAGAGCTATGGTCCAATCCCCAATGAGTATGCCACTTGCGTCCAATTCCTCTAATACGCTCTTGGTCATTATTCTGAGCTCACTCCCCGCTTGCTTCGTCAGGTCCTCAACGCATCAAATGGATTGCCTATATCTGGATCAGTCGACTTGTTGCCCGATGACTACCGCACTCGCTCTTGGTATGAACAAGCTCTGACCTTCGGGACAGCTACCGAGATTCGTGTCAACGACGTCAGCGGGCAACCTGAGTTCCTAATGGCAAAAAGAGTACATTACCTTGATCCAAGCGAAGGCAGTGCGCAAGGTGTCGTCCGGGTCACGTTCCTCCTTGCGAACATGGACCAGTTGGTGGCTACTTTCGATCTGAAGGGTGGGACGATGTACTTCACCAATGGTTCTCACCTCATAGGCAGTAGCGTGAATGGCTACACGAAAGGCGGGGGCAATCGTGAGCTTTTACGACCGAGCGATTCCAACAGCAGCCTTGTTCGACAAGCGAGCACGATAAAAGCTTCGAAAGGCACACCCGTCGAGGTTCGGATTGACGGCGTGAATTACTTCGTCGGAGAGACTGAAAAGGACATAGGAAACATTGTAATCCAAGAAACTTTCTTGCTTCCTAGCAAGTCAGTTCTGGGACACTTTGAAGCTCAGGCAATCCGCAGCAGGGACATCTCCATTGGCATTGCCTGCGGGATTGTCTTATTAGGTTGTCTGGTCGTCTTCACGATAACGGACCCAATCACGAAAGAGATGCGCCACAAAGCCGAGCTTCTTGAGAATCTTGAGGCGAAGCAGCGCGCTGAGACGCGAGATGTGTTCAAGACGAAATTCCTTGCGAGCATGAGGTGAGGTTGTACGCGCCATCCGAGTCGACAATGATGATCGGCAGCCAGAAGATTCCATAAGACCAGATTGAGTGGAGGAAGTTGCAATGCGAGCAGACTCTTGAAATTAGAAGATACTCTTGCGCATCTTAGTCCAATCAAACACTCTTATTATTTCACGCCCATAGCAGAAAACGCATAGGAAGTCTTGGACCTTTTATGCTTTACTTTTGATGCTTGTTCGACCTGCTTGTTCCTAGTTCTTTGGCCCGCAACTCTGTCTCTGAGCATTTGTAATTGAGCTAGCACTTGAGTGCTAACCCCAACCTTCTTCAACTGGTCTCTTTGTTAGTCAGAAGTTTTGGATCTCCGTTTGGTCCCAACACTAACTCACGTTATTGTGCAGTCATGACCTTCGCAACCCCTCCGCGGCAATGATCGGCCTCTTGGATGTGCTACTAGAGACACCACACACTGAGGAACAAGGGAGGCACCTCAGCCAAGTCAAAGAGTGCGCTCAGCATCAGCTGAGCCTCCTGAACGAGGTGCTGGATGTCAGCAAGGTGAGATTGCAGATACTGTTGAGGTTCCTCCACGTAACCCGGCCGACACCAGTTGCAATACTGTCCTTTCCTCACTCTAGCAGCGGCCGAACGGTGTCCGTGGTCCGAGATCATGCAGGAACACGACACATGAGAATTATATTTACAGATGGAAACATGCCAGCATCAGGTTTATGTGGCCCATGCTTTGAGACAATTTGAGGCCGCTTGAAGTCTCCTTAAAACCACCGAAAACACTGCACGAGCTGCGTACTCATTGCTGTCTAGACCTCCTTGCTTGGATGATGAATCTGGTCTATGCTTGCAGATCGAGGCCGGGAAAATGCTGCTGGACAATGCTCCATTCGACCTGGTTCACTTATTGGAGTCCCTGATTGATGTCAACGGCGTCCAAGCTGCTAAGAAAGGACTCGAACTATGCCTAGACATCCGAGGTGGGTGTGTTGAGACCATATCTTCGGTCCTCGCAGTAATCTTCCATGCAACCACGAACATCTGTTGTAGAGGCCAGATTCCCCTCTTTCTATCCTCCAACACTTAGGAAAGTCTTTTCGACATGTTTCATGTCCCTCCTATCCAGCGTAGGCCGAGCTTCGAGATTAAGAGCTCACCTTCGACCCCTTTCTCTTGTCCGAGGACTCCCTCGTCTTTAGAATCCAGTCCTCTGTATCCTTGCGAGTTTCAAAACCCTTGCTTCCTTGTACAGGTGGGATCCCTCAGAAGCTCTTAGGAGACGCTACCCGAAGCAGGCAGATCTTTGCGAACCTGCTCAGTAACAGCATGAAGTTCACAAAGGTAAGGAAGGCTTCTGCAACTGTTTTGCTAAAAAACTTGATACAACACGGTACTATTTTGGCAATGGCGACCTTCGTGGGTTATGTTTAACCGAGCGCTTTGTTGAAGCATAAACCTCAGCCTCGACCCAGGGAACGATGTTCTGTTGGACCACGCAACCACGGGATCTATCTGACTCGGCACATGTCGCTCAGCACGCCGAAAACAACAGCGTAAGCTTAAGTGTAATCACAAGCTGAAATTTTGCTTATCCAATACCTGCAGGCGGGTTACATCGCCGTCCGGTGCTCTCCCGCAAATGCTGACGTCAGTCAAGTAGAGCCGGGCAAGATCAGGCTAGCTTTCGAGGTTGAGGATACCGGGTGCGGCATTCCGCCGGAGAAGCGGACCCTCGTTTTCGCGGACTACTCCCAAGCGGACGGCGCCGCGACGGCGCAAAGCTACGGCGGCACGGGGCTAGGCCTGGGTATCGTCAAGAAGCTGGTGCAACTGATGGGGGGGGAGGTGTCCATACTGGACAAGGACACCCCCGGTTGCATCTTCGGTTTCGACCTCGTTTTCCAGACGGTCGAAGGGGCCGGAATGTCGCGCCCCGGCCGGCGCGGAACCGCCAGCGGCGGAGTGCCGGAATCGTCGTTCCAGGGCAGCGCAAAGAGCTCTGGGGATCCCTCACGGCTGCCGCTTGCCGGGTTCAATCTCGTCTTTGGGCACGCCAACTTCCTCGCGCGGTCCATCACCGCGGGCGCGCTGCGCGAGGGGGGCGCGACGGTCGTCGAAGCGGTCAGCTGGGACGAGGCGTTGCTGGCGCTTACCGTCTCGACCGGCTTGAACAGCCGCAGGAGCACGCGCCCGAGCCAGGCCCCGCTGCCGCGAGTTTCGAGCCCGGAGGAGTATCTCGACCCGTCGAACGCTCAGTCAGAGATCAGCGCTTGGACCAGAATCGACGAAGAAGCGGACGAGATTGCTGAGGCGACCGGAGGAAACGTCAGGCGTTCCAGCTCTCTCCGGTCGCGGGCGCCATCTAGAAGACCTTCAAGCGCGCGCACGGAGAGTAACGCGAGCGCGCGCGCGTCCGACGGCGGAGCGGACGCGTTTTTCATGGAGTGCGCCGTGCTTGACGTGGCCCTCCTGCCCGGGTTTCCGGATGTGTCTCGGTTGGAAGCAGAGCTACAGAAGCTGACAAAGGCCTTAGAAAAAGGTGAGGAAGGGCGCGACAGCCAATGACCAACCAAATGCTACGCACAATAAATGATATTCTCTTCATGCGGCAGCACAGATGCACGGCCGTTCGGCATTGCTTTTGACCCGCTCTTGGCGCAACGTTCCGAAGATTTCCGCGGGTGCTTTTCAGACGTTTCGGATAAAAAGCCGTAAATATTACCCCCTGTCAAGAAGTTCCCTTTTTCTTTTCACTGCTCTTACAAGGTCGCCGAATTGCTCATTTAATCGCTTGCGCAGCGGAGACATTGACAAGCCGCTGAGATTCAGCGAAGAACCTTGTTGAACCCCACTAGACGTTTCGGAATTCAGACGACATGCAAATCCGTCCCCCTGCTGGCTCATCGTCTCACCAGATTTTTTCCCCCTTGCATCTTTACTACGGTCTTCAGACCACCCGGACTTGACACCCTCGGAAACGATCCACTTGCTTAAAGGCGTCTTTTTGCAGTACTTACGTGCAAGGCACCAAGCGCCACCGCCTTACCAACCCCCTGCTAGGTGCCGAGCCAAGAAAGCTGCCATCACCTCACTCGTCTCTTGACACCTGTCTCGTCTTCGCGACTGTAAAGTAGAATGGAGCTTGCGATTGGCGTTCAGAAACGATTCTTTTGCGGCGCTTTCTTGTTACAGGTCGGGAGGTGCGCCGGAGCGGTGTGGTCGTCGTGTGGATCGTCAGCGGCAGCACGCCGGCGGACGTCCGCAAAGCGCTGCGCCGACACGGTTTCGGACACGAGGTGTCCAAACCCCTGTACCCGTCAAAGATGGAGCACCTCCTGCTGTCGCTGGCCAAATCACCTAGGGCAAGCGGCGAGACGCCGGAGGACCCGCACGTGGTCCTTGAAGTGGACGGCTCCGATGCGTCCAGCTCGGACGTGGTCCCTGAAATCGACGGCTCCGATGCGTCCAGCTCGGACGTTTTGCTGCCGGGCAGCACGATGCCTCTCCCGGGACTCAGTAAAAGCGGTTCGGTGTCAGGTTCTCGGGGCCATTCCAAGAAAGCGGCCCCGGGGGGCGTTGCCCTCAAGCTTCCGCTGTCCGGCCTGTCGGTTCTGGTCGCGGAAGACAACCCGGTGCTGCGCCAGCTCGCGGTGCGCAGCCTCGAATCGCTCGGAGCTGACGTGGAGACGGCTTGCAACGGCCAAGAAGCGGTGGATGCCCTCCACGTGGCAGAGGCCAGCGCGAACCGGCCGTTCGATCTGGTGCTGATGGACTGCCAGGTGGGACATCGCCGTAGTGATCATGAAGCTTCATTGGCAGGCGTTTGGGCTCATGCTAAAAGCGCCAGATTCATAGCTGCGTTGTTCGCTTAACCAGATAAGCACGGTCGGAACCTCGGGTCCGCACTGATCGAGTTGCTGATCATTTCCGATTACCACCCGGACTTCACAGATTGACAGGCCTACGAGAGGAATGGCTGGCTTCATGACGCAAAGGGTTCGAAATTGAGTCGGATCGGAAGTGAAGACAGACATGGAGACTGACATTACTTCTGAAGGGCCACTGTCCTGGACCGTTGCGGTCCAGTCAATCCTCACTTTCTTCCGACCGTCTTGCAGATGCCCGTCATGGACGGATACACCGCCAGCCGTCAGATCCGGAGCGAGGAACTAGAGTCGCCGCAGAAACGGCGCGTGGCCATCATTGCCCTGACAGCGGACGGGAGCAAAGATGCAGAGCGGCTCTGCCTCGACGCGGGCATGGACGGGGTTCTAACGAAGCCAGTGAAAGTAGACTCGCTAGCAGAACTGGTCAACAAATTGGTGGTGAAAGGAAATGGAGAAGTCGCAGCGGTGCAGCGAGTCTAGACGGAACAAAGGTAGTCACGTCGCCATTCATGAGTTGACGTGAGTTGTGTTTACGTGGCAGCCACAATGGCCTCGCTTCGTGAAAGCCGACGGTGCATTATTTTATTGGAGCATTAGGCCTATATTTTAGGTAGCAATGATATGGAGCTCCTTGGTAGGACCACATCAAAGTGAGCGCTTGTAAGCTAGCTGGCGATATCGGCTGGGTGAAGGGGCGAAGCGCGTCAACATCTGTCGGATACCGCAAAAAATACCCGTGTGCTAAGGAGAGTGTACGTAGGTTGCTATGAAGCATTTACCTACATACATCTGGATCGCACGCACCCTACTTGATCGACTTAATTAGAGTAAGTATGATACCGCGCAAGACACGCATTAAGCGCTAGGGACAACATTGATGCATTCGGCCATTCGACGGCCACTTCTAGTTGAATTGGCGTTTTATCGGAATTCGAATGTAAAGTACATTGTACTAGTGAAGATAGAGTGTTTGATGCAGTCCCAACACGAGCTGCGCGGATACGTATCTACTGCGCCGCGCACGTACTAACGTGCACATGCGCCAGTGGCATTTGACATGTGCCCTAGCGTTTGTAATAGCGCCCAGTACGGCCCGTATCTCAATCTCTTGCCTGTCACTAATCATAACTGGTCACCAACCTGCACACCGTGCCAGTCATATGAATAACTTTTCCAAATTCGCACTGCAGCCTGCGGGCAGCCTTTCCTGCAATGATCTGCAGAGAAAGTGCAGACTTCGAGCTTCAAATCACATATATCAAGGCCCTAATTTCCAGAGACACGTCCTATACTCGCGCCACCGCAAGAACGTAGTTGTAAGTTCCGTCCTAGTGCAAAGTACTGGTTCTCCCCGACAATTGTCGTGGAAAGTGTTCCCGAACATCAATGTTGACGAACTGATCTCAACCTGTGCGACTATGCTACTGTGTATGAAACGGCTCATTCAACACTTTTACAACAGAGAAGCCCGCTCAGCAATTGATTTGCGTACGTCTGCTTGACGTCCAATGCTTGACTGTCTCAGATGGCGGACCGATTAAGGTTTTGTACACATTCCGCCATGCCGTTCAATGCTTGCCTGACTGCCGCGGCCTACGATCCTCGTTTGACAGCTTTCCTCCCTTGCTAAGCTAAGCGCGTGCTGCAATTGCCTGTGCTCTTATGACTACTGCTCATTCAATGTGCGCGTGGACATAGTCTCTGAATATAAACTCCTGCTCAAGCTTGAAGTACACAAAAGCCGCCATACCCAGTGCCAATAGAGAGCCTGTCGTAAAAGCGAGACGAAGCGGGAGAGTGCCAGCCACAGAGCTTAAGAGGAGCGACAAAGCCGCGCTAGCCATCAGCCCGTAGCGCAACCGTTTCAGGCCGGTCAAGGCCCCACGACATGAGGAGCAAACCTGAAAAAGGAGAAGTCGAGTTTATTGTTGATTCAAATTATGAACGAGGGAGGATGCGACCCGCTTTGTAGAAAGTGAAGCAGAACGCAAGACAAGGACAAAGAAGCACGGCTAAAACGAAAACAATGTCGCATCGTGCATCTGGTGGGAGTGGATCGCCGTTGCTGATCATCGAGCGCTAAGGTTACGGATCTGCTTAACTGGGTGCTCAAACTTATCCTGCCTGCTTGCCGACAAAACGCGACGGTCGGAAACAACACTGGTTCACTGAGCCCGCTACCCGAACCACACTCACAGTGTGACGTATTTGGAAGGCCAATTACGATTGTGAAATCTAAAGGATAGAACAACGACCGAGCGTTCTCCCAAAGCCTCCTCCGGGATCGTGCGGACCAATAAAATGACCAGAGGGCTGCCGACGTTCTCGTTTGCAAACGGCCCCCTAATAGAAGCTCGCCACATCCTCTCGAGAACCTCGAAAACGACCAAAAAAATGGAATCGATAATCGTGATCCACAACCCCAGCTCAGAACCATCGTTCCTGAGATGAACGTCCCAAAATTGCATGAGGCAGAAATGCGTACCTCCGTGTGCTGATGCAGCCGGTCGAGCATCTCTCGCCGGCTCCGCTCCACGTTCGGCTCCAGAGGGACCCCTTCCGGGAATTCCGGCCCGCCTCCGCCGTGCTTGTGCAGCCATTTCCGGAAAGCGAGGACGAGCCGGTCCGCTGACGTCGGCGTGTACGTCACCCGGCCGTAGTCCTTTGCCGAGATGCCACTCAAATACTTCTCCTGGCCTTGGAGGACCTAAAACGAGCGGATAGAAAGTAGTAATCAGACACGTGGCGCCTTTTGACTTGACATAAGGGATGCCGTTCCGTCACCATAAACTCGAAGAAGCAGTGAGACAAGCAGGAAAATAGAAGCGACCAAAGCAGGACGCGTGGCGTGCTGTACGGGCGACAAGTAGGCTCGAGGTCCGGCTCGGTGGAGCAGGGCCAAGCAGAGACACGCGTCAGATGATCGAAACATAACGTGGACAGTAAGAACCTGGAAACGTCACTTTCTCGGAAAATTGGGGCAATCTTCGGCCCGTTTCGCTCCGGTTCCGACGCTTGCAACTTCGTGGGAAATTGTATCGTTCCGAAACCCCCTGCTTTCGGCCTTATAATCCGTGGGCAAGAATACCCGTAGTGTTACCGAAGATGGACAAACACTGCAGGTTTCAATTGGTGGTATCCAATCTGACTTGCCCTTATCGGGTAACAGCCAAAATGAAGCGCGACGTGCCAGATCGCAGTCGGCGAACGGCGTCTACGGGACAAGGCCCGCACGCAAGCGCAACCACCGGTTGCATCAGCGCCTTTTCGTCGTTCGACCCTCCTTTTCTTAGCACCGTCAAAACCCCCAAGTCTTTCAGCTCTCGTTCTTCATCCACGGGCGTTCGCGCCGCCACTTTGCGAACCAGATGGAGTATCAAGCGAGCGGTCCGCAGAGCGCCACGTGTTAGCACCTCACCAGCATGTCTCCATCGTACACCTTGTTGGACGTGATGTGCTCGTACCACCGGGGCACCGGTTGCCACCAATTTCCCCCCGGGGAGAGAAACTGGAAGAAGTTGCGCGCGCTTATGACGATCGAGCGGCTCTTGCCGGGCGCGGACGGGATGTTATAGGACGCGATGTAAATCTCCCAGACGTCGGGGCCGCCGATAACGGGGGGCTTGAAGGGCGCGGGGATCTCGATGCGGTTGACGAAGAGGCAGGGCGGGTGGAACTCGGAGAAGAAGCGGGGCTTTCCGGGGGGGTCGTTCTGGGTGCCGCCCCTGGGGAGGTGAGAGAATGAAATTGGGTCAGGAGCAGTCTGTTGGGCAAACTCGTTGGTCTCACGCAAAGCTCACTCGTAGTCCGATATATCAGGATCTGACTTCCCTGGTACCGTGAGGATGAGGATGAGGGTTACTCCAATAACTCTCGTGTGACCTAAGAGCCATGTGAACTGGAATAGGCACCCGGGGGACGGGTGGGGTTGGTATGGTGGTTAGGGTGGGTTGGGGTGCGGAGCGGGTGAATATTGGGGTTAGGGTTTTAGCTTGAAGTGCCTGGGTAACTCGTATGTTCGGTCACATGCCCGTTAGGTCACACGAGAGTTACCGGTATGAGGATGTACTGTGCAATTGGTCTGAGCGAAAGGAACAAAGCGATACAAAAGCCCCAGTAGTCGAGCCAACAGCATAGATCTCAAGAGTCTGCCTCGGGTTCTTTGAAGTGAATCCCTTTGAAACATCGCCGACAAGTGAACAACAAGTCCGTCGAACTTACGTTTATTTTGAAGTGCCTGGGTAACTCGTATGTTTGGTCACACGCCCGTTAGGTCACACGAGAGTTACCGGTATGAGGATGTTCTGTGCAATTGGTCTGAGTGGAAGGAACAAAGCGATACAAAGGCCCCAGTAGCCAAACCAACAGCATAGATCTCAAGAGTCTGCCTGGGGTTCTTTGAAGTGAATCCCTTTGAAAGATCGCCGACAAGTGAACAAGAAGTCCGCCGAACTTACTTGAACCCATTCATGCTCGCCTCCTCGACCCGCAGATTGAGCGGCCGCGCCCGGTCGCGTCTCCCGGTCACTTTATGGTGAGCGAAGTCAATGTGGCTCGGGTCCGCAACGTTCTCCGTCAGCGTGTCGTAAGCGTACGGCAGATCTCGCTGGATGCCCACGGTTGCATATGCGGGGTCGCTGAACGCGGGCGGCAGGCTTGCGGGCTCCTTGAAAAACGAGGCTTCCGGGTTTGCCGTGTCGGGCCAGACCCAGAGGAGGCCCTGTAAGCGGAAGAGTCGACGCGAGAGTCAGGATTGATTGGAAAACGGAGAGTATACTCAGTATTTTTCGAGGCTCGATTTGAACGGGTTGGGATACGCCGAGTTGGAGCTCTTCTCCAAGGAAGCGCAAACCGTCACCTTCGGAAGCCTTTAATCAAGCTACTTTGGCGTAGGAACCGAGTGTGACTCTGCGAATGCTTCACCTCGGACTAGAGTTAGGAACTGAATTCTTACTGTCATAAGAGTTACTAAGAAGTTGGCTGGACGATTTTGGCAAGAGGGAAGGTGGTAAACAAACCTCTTCTGACAAGGCCTCGAATCGCCCCTGTTGCAAGCATCCTGAGCAGGCCTTGTTTAAAGTGGAGCGTCAATCAAGCTCTATACCTAGATGAAGCTGACCAATCTTGGCGCGAGACTAGATTCTCTCGGCTTTCGAGCTACAGGAGTTGGTGGAGGTAAAAAATGCAACCCTGGAGTTGCGGATCACAAGCTATGCTTCGCTTCACAGGCGAAGCAGTTCGCAGTGTGCTCGAAGAAAACCAAAGCTGATTGCATTCCCGCGTGTTCTAAACGACGACAAGGACTATGAATGTGAGCTGCGGCTGACCAATACTCCCGTTCCCAAATTTGTTTCGTTCCTAAGAACCTGTCGTTGCTGGGGCTCCTCTCCAACGAGGTATAACGGCCGCACCTCGAAAGGAACCCGATGGGACAGTCAACGAGAGTGCCTTCACAACGGCAGGGTAAAAGAGCCCCTGTCAGCTCGAGCGATCGAACTAGGAGTGACGGTCTCGCTTCCAAAGGCCCTCGAAACGGAACCTCAAAAGCTGCTGGAACCCCACTCTCCTCTAGAACGACAAGAGTCCTCCAGTTTCTCCTTCCTGCCCTTTGCATACTACATACTTCTCCTCTTGCCAATGTAGGTCGCTAGAGTAGATAATACGCTCCTTTAACGACTTGAGCGCGCTGCAGCAAAGGCTTCGCATGAACTCTAACCTGAAATTCTCTGGTGGGAAGAGCCACCGCGCACGCTCTCGAGTTCCTGTTAGCAGCCGCCTCAGGCCCACTGGACGCCGCCTGGGGAATGACCGCGCACTTGCCGTCGCCGTCAAACGACCACCCATGGTACGAGCATTGCAGAAAGCCGGACTCGTCAATCCGTCCCTGCAGAAAGATGTAGGAGCAGGAGCGAGGTGGATAACTAGTGGCCATCCTGTGCGTACGCCAGGTTTCCAGCTGGTGCACATCTATTGATGGAGTTTATTAGGAAACCATGAATTTTATTAATAACAAGGATCTTAAGGTACAGAAAGTACTGGATTCTCGCTTTAACCAACACTAAAACGCTAAGGACAAGATGACTTGCTCCGCACCCAAACCCACCCTAACCACCAAACTAACCCCACCTGTACCCCTTTACCTTAAGTTCCTTATTACAATTAAAGTTTATCCCTGTCTTATTAGGTGTACTGGATGAAAGACAGAGAGTCAGCGGGTATTACACAACATTCATCCTCCACCTGTTTACAGTGACTACTGCAGAGATCTACAAGAGAACCAATTTTGCGCCAGGCTCCCCTTAAGCAGAACGACGTCAACTAACAGCGAACAGCCTCACCGACTTCCAACGTCAAATCAACAATAGGCAGACCGGGTGTCGCAATCGCCAACCTTCAAAATTTTCAGAAGTTCTCGGAAAAGCAGCATAAGAACATCTGGAAAATAAGAAGGCCAACCAAGACTAAGAAAAGGACGTACCTCCGACAATGGAGCCAATCGGTGCGGACACTTGTCCTCCAAACAGATCCATTTTCCTTTGCTGTCCTTCCAGAGAACTAGAGGCCGGCCTAAAAGTTGGATTGGCGTTGGTGCTGAGGGGTCGAGATCCTCAAGAAGGGACACTGGATACCATTGCTGCTTCCAGTTGAACAGCTCGTTGTGCTCTTGCCTGCACAAAGCATGAAAATGAAGCTCAGAAAAGGGCAGACTGCCAGAAGCAGGCAATGCTTATAAAGTAAACAAGCAAGGCCTTCTCAGGCGTCCTTCAACGACAAGCACAAAAGAATTGTACATGTGCTGAAGGTGTTGGTAAACTTGTCCGGAAAAGGTGACATTGTTTTGCAGGTGTACCAATCTAGGCCCTCTACTTGGCTGGAACAGCCAAAATCATACACGGAGGTGCACAGATCTAGGCCAAAAACTTGCATTGGGACAGACAAAGTTCTATCGCGCCATTGCTATGTACACAACTACTGAAACCTCCATATCAGCAACTTGGAAAACAACCTTGTTCTTTCAAGGATCCCAGACAGATTAACCAGGATCACATCACCAAAGGATGAGAACTGCAAAGAAAAAGTCTGATCTTGTGATTCATGTGATTTACAGGATCAACGTGATTCAAAGTTCAGCACATTTGACTTGAATGGCTCCGCTTCCTACATAATCAGCTTCTAATTCTCGGTGTCAATTATAGCATTGAAGATATACACATGTTCGCTCACTGTTCAACCAGCTTAGACCAGCTTTGCTGCAACAAAGAAGCATTTGTCTCGCCAGCTAGAGCAGCCTCGAAAATTTGAGCCTAGCATGAACCTTGGTGAGAAACCACCACCACAACATCACAGTTCAGCGGCCATCCACTAAAAACCCCAATTGAGTACTCGCAGTTACAGCATGATTAGAAAAGATCCTTTCCTAGGTGCTACGACTTTGTACCATCATCATTCCATACGATGCATAAACCCTGTTTCATGACCTTGGTTCAATCAAAACAACATTGATTCAACAAACCATTTTGAAACCAGGGCCGCAGGGGCACCTGAAGTCGATGCTGCTTGGTGTGCATAATCCTTCAATCAAGGAAGCGATCACATGATCCTCTTTCAGAAGACACGGGGATGATCTTTCCATCTCAAAAAGACATGTCTGCACCATCAGACAAGCTGACCCCTTTCTATGACCATATTAGAATCAACTGGTTTGAAACCAGAACCGCAGAGCCAACTCAGACCACTGCCACAGATGTGCATACTACTTCAACAGGAAGGAATTATATAATTCATTTTCAGACTTCCAAGACAAACAGGTGGTTGTTCCAATTTCAAAGCTGCGTGTTCATTACTCAAGTCCGCATGCTGCAGCCCTCTGACCATGTAATCCTTGCAACTGAAGGTGGTACATCACTCTGTGCCTGCAAACCTCACCGGTCTTCATCTGAAGCAATTCTTGGACTCTCAAGGGTCGCAGCAGCGTGACAAATCCCCGCTGAACCCTTACGCTCCTCCCTTCTTCGCCGTAGACTGCATGAGGTACCACTAGCTGTCGCTTTCTCTGATGAAGCTACAAACACAGATGCTGGCGCTGCGTTCAACGACGCAGGGAACGCCGACGAGAGATCAGCAAAAATAGTCCTTGCAAGAAGAGGTGCTCTTTGAAGTTTTTGAGTTCCCACAGCTGACCCGCTCTTCAGTAAGTCTATTTGGGTGCCCTCTGCAGAAGCTGACAGATGCCTTGCAGTATGGGAAACAACCGACGCGCCCTGAAAGGCAGCGCTGCACGCCTGCATCTTTCCACAGCGCTGCGCTCCAAAGCTCCGCAACCTGCGTCAGCACTTGATGCCCCTTTCAACAGAGATCTCGAGCTGCCAAAAACCCCTTTCCCTCCAATGGCAGAAGCCTGAAAGTAAGAGTACAGGGCACGTACCTCCGTCTGATTGACACACAGGTAGCTGACGTACCGGTAAGTACCTATTCTCCCATGCAGCCAATTTCACCCGATCACACTCAAAAACTCTGCCACGTGGCTAGCCATACTTGTCCCCCCTCATTCATCTGCCGTTCAAAGGAAAAGTGTTTGTTATCCAACGTCGTACATCCTGACACGTCAAGGACCGCTCATTAGTTTGAGGCCAGCTGGCCCGGGTGGTGCACAGGTGGCGGTCTGTGTGGGCCCATGGTTTCCAATGATGGCATAATGGTAGCAGATTCGAGGGAGTGCTTTGCACTCATCAATGATTCCGGTTCTGCCATTCGTAGTCCGGTCATGCTCGACTGCAGTAGGTACCCACTATGTTTGCAGGAGCGACCGTTTGTGTACCCGTTCTGTCGATACGTATGAGATGTGGAAGGCGGCAGCCCTGGTGAGGCCTCTGATTTATAGTGCACATTTGAAACTTCAAAATACCGGTAGCAAGCTCACATCATTGTAATCCTCCACCTATTTAGGATCAGAGAACAGATAGTGATGACACCACACACATTCATGTTATGTCATCGCCATGAGAAGCCTATGGCCTGCAGGCAGCTACGGCCGGCGTGTAAAAGAGAACGTCAGGCCCATTGATTGTGCAGCACTGGTACAGCAAGTGATCGTCCGCATAGGTGTGGCAATAAACTCTTGAAGTTGCCCACTGTCCAAACCTATTTGGCTATAGTAATCGTTGTGCGACTCGAGCTGCAATCAGAAGAAATGAACACCCGCAATGCACACTTACCGATAAGATGCGCACGTCCTATGACTATATACTGTACCATTCAATTGTAGGAGCTTGTTCCATGCAAGAGCTAGGGCCTTGCATGGCGCCTCCTCGCGAGCTCTACTTATATATATGCCTAGCCTAAAGCATATTGCAAACCCGAAGCCAAGCTACTAGCTACTTACTATAATCGAGTGCAATCATGGTGGATCGACGCATGTGCGTCTCATTCATTCATGCAACCGGGAATTAGAAACGGTACGCTAGTGCAAGAATAGTCACAACTTGTCATGAAAAAGTTGGGCGGAATAAACCTTAGGAAAGCCTGCCCAAAATGCGCTGGCGCGCGCCCCAGAAAGTCAGCAAGGACCAGTCCTGATGCAGGCTGCTATCAACGACAAAAGGAGAGGCAAAATCCGGCGCAAGCGGCACCAAAACAGTCTCCAAGGACAGCTGAAAGTGTGCCTGACTGCCAATCAGCCCTAGGGCCCCAAAAACCCTCTGAAAATGTCAGGGAAGCCAATCTCAGAATGCCAAAATCAGCGGCACACAGCAGCCCTAGGCAGCCCTGATACTGCCTACAACGCAGCCAAACCCTGCCGCCTCTTGCGGCGCTCTCACGCTCTGCTGAAAATAGCCAAAGATCTGATCACTGAGGCGCCAAAACTTGCGCTCCACAGCGCCACGCTGCGCTTGTGTAGGCCGAAAATCAGCCTATTACCAGATGCGTCGAGAAGCGGTGGTGCTTCCCTCAAACCCCACGAGTGCCTTCTCCATGTGAGAAGGTCTTCATGCACGCGCCGTACCTTCTGAAGATGCGGTGGCTTCCTCCACAAGACCCGTGCCTCAACCGGATCTTTTGTAAGTCTACACAAGCCGGGAAATGACGATTAA